GCTGTTTTCTATTATTTCAATATTCCCACAGATCATATGTTATTATTTTTTTATATTTAAATAATACTTATCCAATGGATTTAATATTATCATATGTCATGTATTTTATTCGTTTGTGTCTTCTTGTTTTTTTTTTGAAAACAGTGTTATATTAAATTTAATATCATTACCTGACATCTTGATTTAATACAATTCTCAATATATCTTTTGTAGATTCCTTAAACCAATACGTTTTATATTAACCACTTTGTATAACGTTTCTTTAGTCAAAAATAATAAATTTAAAAAAAAATTATAAATCAATATTTGCTTTTGGAAACAAGAGGAATTAGCTAACGGTTTAACTTATTCATAAACAATAAACCATAAAAATTAACAAGAAAACATAACTTAATTAAGGAAATAAGTATGACAAATATATTTTAGAATTCCACGAAAATTAAACTGAGAATGAAACCAATCACTAAACAATAATGAAAAAATACTTGATTTGAATTAATAATTTAAAAGTAATTTCTAAAAAAGTTTTGTATAGTACAGATAAATAAAAGAATTAACACAACAGATAGAAGAAAAATCAAGCTGTATATAAAAATAAATTATTAGCATTTAGTTTAGTGAATAGTAATCAATGACAGTACCATAAAATTGTTTATTTCCTTAGTTTTGAATTTTGATTTTTTTATTCTTTTTATTTTTCGCTTAAAGCTTATAATTAACAAATAAATTAAAATAATAGTTTTTGTAATAAACATAAAAGAAAAGGCGATAATTTTTTATAGCCATTATTCTTACGCATAATATTTGATAATCGTTAAGAATTAATAGAACACATATTTATTTTGGAAAAATAATATACACTCTTTTGTTTTATTTTTCTGTGAATTTGCGATAGTGAAAACATTATACGATATAAAAAATAATTTTAATGTAGTTACATTCTAACTTAAAAACTTACTGAAATTGAGTTATAAATAAATAAGTTTGCTTTTATTATAAATTAATTTCAGCAAACAAATGGATGTGAGTAGCAGTTAAAAGGATAAGAGACAGAGAATTTACTTTTTTCTACAGGGGTGAAAACACAATAAGATGATCTAGTACTAAAAGCACATACCTCCAGTCTATCTATAGATACTGAAGAATAGTTAGTACATCCTTGTTTCTTTTGGACATGGTTGATTAATTGTTTGAGAAAAAATTCTTCTTCTTTGATTACAATTTTTCTACCACTTGGAGTAATTGCGGAATCCCATACATAGAAATGGATTACTTTTAATGACTCTTTTAAAGCGTTTATTCCTAATTGTAACGAATATCCTTTACTTAATAAAATCCAAGCAAGTGCATTGGAGAAAGAAGCCTCCCTGTTTCTACACTCATTTATTTGAGAAGATTTAGATGGAAGCCTGTCACAAGGAAGATACGACTCATCACATATTTCATTTTTTAACATTGACTTTGTTACAGTAACAACCCTTTCTTTCCTCAGTTTAGCGTCATTTACAAGTCCATGAAGATTTAGACAAAGGAGCTGTGAAAATTTTGAAAATGATACTGAGTCATATTTTGTTTCTTTCATAACAAGTTTTTTCCCAACAAGAACTTTCAGTGCATAATTACTTTGCTTTGATTTAGAAAAAGTCATCCTTCCACCTTCATTAACAATCAATGATACAAGAAGTGCTGTGGACAATGCTTTTTTTGATCTAGACAATGCTCTACTAATGATGCAACTCATTCTAATCAATAATATTTTTTTAAGATTTTATTTCGTGTTATGAGAAATAGTTTATTCGTTTCTTTTGGAAGTATCTTCTAAAAGTGAGAGAAAAGTTATTATATTCTTAAATTCTTCCATTTTAATTTTTTTCCTATTTTGAAACATCCTACAAACTATTTGTGGAATGGAGTTTTAGGTTATTAAAGATTCAAAATTAAGTACTATATTTGCCTTCACTCAGTTTGTTTAGTAAAGACATAAACAACAGTTTTAAATTGCTTCATTTTCATCCCCTTCTAGAGACCTCTTTCTTTGTTTTTCTGCTCATGTATTATTCGTAATGTTGTTTTAGTTTTCTTTTCATGAAAAAGTTCTCAAACAAATTAAAAATTGAAAGATATAAAAATAAGATAAACTAAAAGTAATACAAGAAAATATTAATAATATAATATTGTTATAGTTTTAGATTATGAATGAAACTTGTGTCTTTTATTGAATTATAAAAAAATAAGAAGAGAGATATTATAATAAAATAGATTAAATACTATTAATAAATAGAATGTTAATTAATAAATTCATTATTTAATCTAATTAATCATAGAAAATATTTACTATCTTAAAGTATCTTTATTCGTTTTATCTACATTTTTTATATAACCCCCTCTTAGTTATTGTCTTAATGAAGTAATGTTATTTTCTCTTAGACCTCTTCTAAACATTCTTATTTTTCTTTTCTTAATTTTTTTTCGTTTATTCTATTTCTTTGTTAATAAATCATGATAGTTTTATACTCAATTCTTCTTTTATGATATTTTTTTCTGAGTTATACTAAGTGATTAAATTTGTTTTTGTTAGAACTTATATTTTAAGTTTAACCTTTTTCTCCTTATTAAGGACAAGTCAATTAATTTTCATGTAACTTGTCTCTATTAAATTATTAAAGGGAATTATTCCTGAGTACATGAAGAAAGAACTAACTGTTAAGGTTATTTAAAGATTTATTCATTTCAAATTGTTCATTATCATTAAGTATTTTTAGTAGGGTTATAAAACTAGTTAACTCTTTTTCTTATTTTTTCTTCTAGTAAGATTTAATAAGGAGGATATTGATTACAAAGTAAATATCTTTATGGAAGTTTTTTAGGTTTCTTTTAAATCTTTAATAATAAATGAATTGAATCATTACAGGATCTCATCTTTTAGTTTGCCTTAATTCCAAACAATCTTCTTATTGAAAAAGAATTAGGATAAATTAAATGGAATTATGTTTTTAATCAAATTTATATTAGTAAACTTTTTTTATTTTGTCGTTATTTAGGAAAAAAAATGGAAGAATACTTTTCTTAAGAAATATACAAAAGGAGTATTTATTATTACTTTTTATTTGGTATAAATTTTCAGTAACTATTTTATAATGCTAATGTTATTCTTTTTATTTTTTGATTATGTTTAATAAATTCAAGTTTTTGTGAAATTCTAAAGGATATTTAATGAATTAAATTTTAATATTTTCAATTTACTATATTCAAAAATTTTAAAAAATAAAAAATCTTTTAAATAAGTTTTAAAGATCTTATAAAGAAAACATTTTCAGTTTATGAGACTTTATTCTATGAAAATAAATAAAAATTATAATTTTTTAGTTTCTAGTTAAGAAAAACAAAAAAGTAAGATTCTTTTTTAATATTATTCTTTTCTATCTACGGTTAATTTGCACTATCTTTTGAAATATTATATAAAAGTATTTTTCAATTATGTGTTGGTCCTAATTATTTAATACATTATAATTTTCTTGTACACCTTTTGTTCAAAAAGGTGGTAGTTATAAAAGTGTATGGCTATTAGTTAAATCTAAAAATTCTTCAACTCCTAGAGAATTTTAGTAGCATATTTATATTACAAGATTCCTTATCACTAAAATTTCTACAGTATTGAAGTTAGTATTAATGAAAGAAAATTGGTTATTGGTTATTATTAAAAAAACTTGTAAAAAACCATAAAATTATTTTGTTTGTTAGTAAAACAACTGCACTATTCGTTCAGCTTTTTCTTAGGGGACGAGAAAACTAGTCCAAAGTATCTAAGTTGATATTTAAGATATTCTCAGATAACTGATTTCTATAGATAGTTAACTCAAATATTTTTTTTCATAGTATAATAGTGGGATATTTGATGTTACGTGTTGGTATTACTCTTTTGTATTTATAAAGATATTCTTTGTATTAGGTTGAGACATCTTAATAAGAACAAATTAGTTAATTAGCAAATATAACATTGACTATTGCCAGACGTTTTAATCATACTTTTATGAGTTTTATATATTTGTACGACATTGTTAAATACATCTTCCACATTAATTCTGTTCAACGCAGATACTTGAACAAAGTCATAGGCACCAATTTCTTCAGCCATTTCATATCCTTGTTGTGTTGTAATTATTATTGACCTTTTATTAGTTTGGACATACTCTCTACTTTCTAATAAATCAATTTTAGTTGCAACAAGAATGATAGGGACTTCAGGTGCATATTTCTTTAGTTCTGGCAACCAATAACTTTTAACCTTTTCGAATGACTCTGGGTTGTTAATAGCATAACACAACAAAAACACATCAGTATTTTGGTACACGCATGGTCTGAGCCTGAAGTAATCCTCTCCGCCACCTGTATCAAATATATCTATTTTATAGTCCTTGTTTTTGTAGTTAATAATAGCACTAGC